AGGCAGAGGTTTTATCTCAGTATAACTTTAAGATATGGTACCACCTAAGTAGCAAGGCAGTAGTGCTAGATATACTCTCTAGGTGCGAACAAGATATGCCTATATCCCTCAAAGATAAGCATAAGCAAGGTTGAATCCTATAGCTCCTTCTAGAAGCAGCCCTACCCTCAGCGCATATATAACATATAGAGGCAGCACTATTAATACTTATGTTCACTAATAATAAGGAACTATAGTAACTCTAGGACTAGACCTAAGGATAAGATGAAGTCTACTAGCAGGCCTATACTACTGTGAAATAATAAGTAAGAAGCTTCCCCCCTAGCCTTAAGCTAAAGGTCCAGATTGCTAAGTGTGAGATTAATAATAGTAACTAACTGCTGTTTAGAGACTAGATCTAGGTACTAGGTAGTAAAGACCCTAATAGCAAGGCGAACATATTATATACTTATATTATTTAAAGCATCTATAATTTAATACTTAGTAGCTATCTAGGAAGAGATAACACCTTTATGCTGGTTAGTAGATAGTTCTACTAGCCTGGTTAGTTGCATTTAGTATAGTGTTTCTGTTATAACTGTGATAGCTATAGGTGAAGTTATATCTAGAGAGAACGCTATAAAGGACTCCTGAAACTACTTCTAATACTGCAGTATATATAAAGCAACCTCACTATAGATTCTATTACTAACCTTCCCTTTATAGATAAGGGTGAGAGGTATCTCTAGGTAATTATTAACTGGCTAGGTAAAGGTGTAACCTTTGAAGCTATGGAAAGCATAGAAGCTGAAACCTGTGCTAAATGATTTCTGAGCTGCTACTTCTGCTTCTATAGCATCCTAATATTAATTATGAGCGATAGGGGAAGTAATTAGATAAGCTGCTTCTGGCGATAGTTCTATAAGCTGTTAGGAATAGAGTAGCAGCTTAGTATTACTTACTACCTACAGACTGATAGAGGCTTAGAGAGGATGAACTAAGAGATCTAAGCCTACTTATATAACTATGTCACTTACTTGCAGAAGGATTAGGTATATAACCTCCCAGCAGCTCAGCTAGCGCTTAGTAGCTGCGATAATAGCGCTATTAGGATGAGCAGCTTCTTCTTAGAGCATAGATACTATCTAGAACCTATTATAGTTAAGGAAGCAGACCTGGAAGACTGTAAGGGCCCTCATAAGGATGTAGCATATAAGCTGGTAATAAGGCTTCAAGATGCGATAGACATAGCCTAATTAACCCTTGCCTTAACATAGCAACGCTATGAGGAAGCAGCTAATATGAAGCGCCAGCCTATAGAGAGACTAGAAGTAGGCGATAAGGTCTAGCTTCATATAGGCCACTATAGATCCCCTAGGCTATATAAGAAACTGGATTAGTTACACTATAAGTATACTATTACAAACGTTATCTCACTATATATAGTAGAGCTTAACATGCCAATAGCTATATACCTATGCTTCCATATGGATACCCTGAAGCATGCAGGCAACAACCCCTTACCTAGTTAAACGTTAGATAATAAGCAGCTGCTACTAATTATAGATAATAAAGGCGAGGGTACCTGGAATATAGAGAGTATTAACGCTGCTACCTGGAAGCGTTGAGGGCGCGGGCGACGCTGCGAAGTTCTGGTTAAGTGGGAAGGATACGTAGAGAGGACCTGGGAGCCTATTGAGACGCTCCAGGGGACGGAAGCATTAGAGGCTTATGAACGCCGTTATAGCTCCGCGATGGAGCATAATAGAGACCTAGCCTTAGGGCTGCGGGCACGCCGCCGGAGGGGAGCGGGGGGGTAATGTCACGGGCTAGAGCCCAGATTGATATCTCCAGCTTTACCGGAGCAGTTACCAAGATCCAGCTCCATTGGACCCACTACTCTGCCGCGGTACACCGCCTAACCCAGTCTGCTTCACCACTGTTAGGTGCCTACTCTTATAAAGTCCTTTCTTCCTTCTTCAGCTTAGAATAGTCAATCGACAGCACCTCTACGTTGAACAAGCCTAGGGGCCAGCCCCTTACAAGAGGAGGGGTCTCTGCAGTAGAGGTGGCTATCTACGGCCCAAGTCTATTACTCGCAGCCTACATTTCTTCCAAACTTGGTTTCAATCGCTCCGCTGGCTGGATATATACCGTCATATTCTGTATCGCTCGATTTCTTGGTTCAATCATTCACCTAGCCACGTACGACAACTCGTCTGTTGGCTTGATGCAAGCTGCCCTTATTCTAAATGGGATTGCTATTTCGCCACTAACGTCCCACACCCACTTTTGGCCACCCCCCACATTTGGCCACCCCATTTTTGATGCCCTCACATTTATACACATCAACTTCAACCAATATTTATATGTATTATGATGCCACGACGATGCAACTTTCGCTGTCACTAGGGTTTTCAGACTCGCTGGATTCATCTGTGCTACTTTCAAGTTCGCCCGCCTCGATTTGAGCCTTCCGAATGGCCTTAATATCGGCAAACTTCGAATTTGGGCTCATTCTGACCTTCTTCTGTTTCCTGGCCCTACTGGCATCAACCTCTGCCTGCAGTGCCTCAATCTTTCGCTGGGCTACTGCTAATTGGTATGCCTTCTCATCAAAGCCCTTTTGAACCTTCAGAAAAAGCAGGCGCTGCGTATGCTTATCGGTATCCAGCTTACTGAACAGGCTGAACTGATCCTGAAGCTCATCCCTCTTCTTAGGGGTTGACCAAGGGACTGCTGATGTATCTGCCGCCTATTTTTCGCTTGCTTTGCCATCAGAGAGCCCTTTGCAGACCTGACCAGCTGGTTTGGCAGGGGTTGAAGTGTTCTCAAGCAGCAGAGGGCTCATGAGGGGTCTAGCCATACTGATAGGCCACAAACCAGTCTATTTCCAGCCACTGATGATGTTTTTGCTTGTTAGGGCTGCCTTTCGCGCCTTGCTATAGCATATAACGAAATTTCTCTTGCCTACAACTATACCAGCATCCTATTCAGCCAGTAATCCAAGCTCCTTCTTATATGCTGCCTTGAGGGGCCTAAAAACCGACTGATCGAGTGGCTGAAGGACGTGTGACGTGTGTGCTGGCAAGAACAGTAGATATATCTTGTTCCTAAAGCATATATACATAAAAGCAGTAGTCTTATGGCTTCTATGACCATCTAAGATCAATAATCTGACCTCTGAGGGGTCCCCTGGCTGGGTTGAAGGGATAAAGACCTCTGTTAACCACTTGACAGCTGTAGAGTCTGAAGTCCACCCGTTTTCTGTAGCTGTGAACTTCTAGGATTTATATGGCGTCAGATCTAGAGGGAACCACTGCTGCTGGACATTCTTGCCCTTATATATAACAAGTGGAGGCAGTGCCTTGCCAGTTGCAGAGATACACTCGATTAGAGATGTCCAAGCATGCGATCCAGGCTGTTTCTTGCGGATAGAATGAGTTTCTGATGATCCAAGAACAAGCCTATTTGATCCTCTACCTTCTAGGATACCAGTCTCATCCATATTATATCGATTGTAGGCCTTAATGGCCATGATCTCAGGTATGGCGAGGTGCTTGAACCATTGCCTGATTACATTAGTTGAAGCTCTATTGATACGCTGGGAATCGATTGCTCTGCTTCTTTGGACCCTTACAGATGGGTTTCTCTTAATAAAAGACTGTACCCAGTTCTTTCCAAGAGGCTGGGAGTCTCCATGGACCTGTAGGATGCGTTCAGCAAAGTCCTTGAGTTGTTGATGAGTTGGAGGTAGGCCTAAGGCAGCCTGAATTCGAACCCATTCAGCCAAATGGCTTTCCTGGCCTGCAGAGAGTCTTTGCAGATCAGAAAAGGCTATATCCCTTGCCTGATGACCCTTCATACGATTTTTCAGCGTCGATCGTGGTATACCCCATTCAAATGCAGCTTTTTTAACGCTAGTACCGTGTGCGATAGCTTCAAGAGCCTGGTTAATGTCATCTTCGGTATATTGAGGCATCTTGATCAAAAGAAGATATATACGAAAGATGAGGGCGATTGGATTAAAATTGGTGAAGTTGTGGAAGGTTGAAGTTGGTGGTCATCATGGCGGTGAAGCATTTTTGGGGTGGCCAAATGTGGGGGGTGGCCAAAAGTGGGTGTGGGACGTTACCCCTGGCAACGCTCGGAGTAATTTTAAGACTGTAATCGACCCCGAACACCACGAACATCTCAGGAAGCTCACACCTTGACAGCTTTGACTGGGTGAAGGCAACCAGAGTTTCTTCAATCAATACTAAGCACTTCAGAATTATCCAGGCCGTATTATATGTCGGCCTAATCCTAAGCATCGTTGGTGGCACGAGTATGAGCTACTCCTCAGACGGCACGTACCAGCCCCAGGCCATAACAAAAGCATCTATACTGCTATACCTTGCTGGATTCATTGCAATCACGGCTGTCATAGTCGTCTCCCGACAAGCCTTCACGCCCCTCAGCCAAGTTCCTCATATCGAGCGACGCTTGCTTGTCGCGATCCTTTTGGCATGGCCTTTTCTATTGACTCGAATCATTTATTCGATTCTGGGGACCTTTCTGCACAACAAGACGTTTTCTATGGCCAGGGGCGACCTGGGCGTTTACGTGACCATGGCTGTCCTTGAAGAATTTGTTGTTATCGGCATATATCTGGCACTTGGGTTCTTCTTGGTGAGAAACGAGTCTCCTGCGACAGGAGAAATTGCCAATCGTGCGTGGAAGAGCCGGGCCGCAGATTCCGTGGAACCGGAACGCATCCAGCATGACGAAGAAGCCGAGCAAGGTATGCCTCTTCGGCTGTGAGAGCGTGGGCCAGTAGTTCGAAATGACAGAGTTCTGTCCTTTATCAAGTACCTTAATAGTGGACATGGTAGTGCTGTCTAGATTCGTTGTCTCTAAGAGGTCGTGAGATTACAGTGTTTCAGAATTATCCATGTATTGTGACGGCTTCCCGGGAAGTAGAAACTGATTGATGGAAGCATCATAGAACCCGACTGATTTTGTAGCATACTATACTGGTGCTATGCTTTGGTAATGGTTTGCGGAGGTGCCGCCTTTGCATCCATCCTAGTCGTAGCCCCATGCTTCTTGAACGGAAGAGTTGACAACTTGCGGCGATGGAGGTGCTGGGAAATAAGTTAGCCTACCTTAGGCTTATAAATATAAGTCACATATTGATACGATACATACCAAAGCCGCCGCAACAACTGCCATTGCCTGCGCTGTACGTTGGTTGCTGTCGATGGAGTATCCCCAAGCTGTCTGCTCCCCTTCAGTACATGTCGCCAATGCACAAGTTTTGCCTTGATCAAAATCGGACGTAAGCTGTTGCGTATGACAGACTTCGGCACCCACGTCCATTTCCTTCATGAAATGAAGCCCCCTAATGACTGCGGACGCGATACTGCTGCCGGATCCATTGACCCGTATCGTCAAGCCGTCCGCTGGATTGACTGTTCCAGTAACGTTCTCGAGGGTTCCGTCATTAGAAACGCTGATATTGCCGGTACCATGTCTTTCTGACGAAAGTGCGTAGCTGGCGATGAACAGGTTGATGACCTCCTGATGACTGATCTCCCGAGCCAGGGCTTCGCACATCATTTGTACACGGCGACCGAAATCAATCTGAAGGTCGACAGGAAGATCGAGCCCCCATCGTCGGCTGAGAATCCAAGTGGCGGCTGCCTTGCCGCTCTGTGAATTCACGCGGATGACCTGATCCATCGGAATACCTAGATCCAGCGGGTCGAGAGGAAGATAGGGGATGTCCCAAATCGGCTGCTCCCCCCTCTCGAAAGCTTCGTTCCGCCATGCAAGCCCTTTACGGATGATATTCTGGTGGCTGCCACTGAATGCTTGTAGGGCAAACTCACCAGCGTACGGTGCACGCTGGGAGATTGTCAGTCCAGTGAGTCTTTCAAACCTTTCTCTGATCTGTGGAAGATTTGAAAAGTCCAGGCCAGGGTGAATACCCCTCGACAAGAAGTTCAAAGCCAGAGCGACAAGATCCACGTTTCCACAGCGTTCACCATTGCCAAAAAGGCAGCCCTCAACCATACCAGCGCCGGCTAGCATGCCCATTTCCGCCGTGGCAATTCCGCATCCACGATCGTTATGGGGATGCAGCGATATTCTGATCTTTTTAGGCTCAGATAAGGAAGCCTGAAAAAGTTCGACCTGGTCTGCAAACACATTTGGCGTGGCTACCTCTGTGCTGGTGGCTAGGACGGCAATCAACGGATCCTCTTCAGTCGCCCCCCAGGCCTCTTTAACAGCCTCTGTGATCAACAACGCAAATTCGGGGTCAGCTTCGTTGTAAGCTTCAAGACCAAAGGCGAGAGTCCAGTGGGTGACGGAGGCAGACTCCGGATCATCTTTCGTGAGAGACCGCAGGAACCGAACTGATCTCACGGCCTGTTCTACAGCCTTCTCGCGAGTGAAACCTTGGTATTTTAGTTGTTTGTCGCTGGTGCATATGTATGTGCAGATCGCGGCTCGCTTGGCTCCCCATAAGGCTTCTACCGTGCGGGCCAAGAAGTCTTCACGCGTCGGAGAGAGTCCTCTGATCCGAACGTCATCTGGTACGGCCCCAGGAGTCTCGATGAGACGGCGCGTGAAGTCAAATTCAACTTGGGAAGCCGCAGGAAAGCTGACTTCGATCTCCTTATAGCCAATTGAGACGAGCATCTGAAAGTATTCCCACTTCTGATCCACAGTCTGTTTGAACGGGTAAACACCACTTCTAGAGTCAAAACAGGCGTCCCGCGTACCAATGGGTTGATGAGAGATTGGTTACCGTCTCGAAGATCTGTAGACAGCCATGTAGGCGGTCTTTTCAAGACTCTGTTGGGCCATTTCCGGTTTGGGTTTTCAAACTGCAGAAACCCAGCATACTTATTTTGGGGATCTGATAACCTCCGTGAGGGTGAGTGTCAATTCATGTGTTAGAGAGTGAAGGACGTACATCTTGACAACTGATATTTGACGTTTTAACGCAGTAAAACCTTCAATACGGAATGTCGTTGACGCAGAGCACCTACTTGACCGAAGCGACGATGGCGGTTTTGAAGAAGCAAGAGGAATCATAGTTGCCGGTCCCACATTTATATGTCGTAACATCATCAGCCCTGCAAACCTTCTTTGAAATGGAGCTGATTCAGTATGTGTTGCATTTCCACGACGGCCCTACTAGGAAAGTTCGGACTGTGCAGCGTCACAGTGTGATTAGACGTCTACCAAAACCGCCGCCAATGAGAGAGCTTCCTGTGACTGAACCCCATGGCAAAACAGACTATGTAGTTGTCTTCTCGATGCTTTCTCAATTATCCGAACCCTCGGCACACCGTGGTCCTGGACAACGCGGATGAACCTGACCAAGTCCAGATGAAACCTTTCGGTTGGCATCGAAGTGTGGAGTTTTCTCACCATTAGATCTGTCTAGCCCAGTTGCATGACTGGTATTTTTGAACTCTATTTCCATTTTCTACGCGCCCAACCCCAATGAAGAACGACGAATGTATCGCAAGCTTTCGGACCTGGGATGTCCCAAACGAGAAAGCACCGAAGACCATGAGTCAGTTCACTTGGTTCGTCCCTGGAGGTTACAACGTTACCCCAGGTGTAAGTATCGTCGGTTGTTGTGTCTTGCCGCGTGGCGTTCCATTCTATCGGATAACATCTCGGACCGGTAGTTTGCCTCGAAGAACGCAGTCTGACTGAGGCAGGTTATGATATTTGGTTTACCTCACCTTCGCTACCTGTTCTAGATGGGACTTAATCTGACTCCCCCGAAAGTCTCCGCATAGGTGAGAATGCGCCGGTGGTCGGCACTCCTGCCCCTCATTCTGATCCCGTAGCTTGCGTGCACATAGCCACGTGCATCCTCGTCTGCATCCGCAGCCCCATCATTCTCCGACTTCGTTAAATTGGACCCAAAACCTTATCCAGAACCCTGACAATTGCCTCAACCTCGTCCACTAACACGCCTTGTTGTAAGCTCTCTGGGAAGCATGTCTGCAGCAAAAGGCAAGAATCACGAGATTACTCACCGGTGTTGTAGTGCACTAGGCTGACCCGCACTACACCATCATCGTCGAGACCAAGAGTCCTTTCAGCCAGTCTCTTGGAGAAGAAGTGACCCCAGCGAATTCCAATATTCGACTGTGTTTCGACAGCCTCTACCACGCTCTGTGAGGATCTTCCCCTCACCGTGAAACTCACAGTCGGTAGTCGAATTGCGGGCTCGGATGAAGTTTCTCCACGGATGGAAATGTCTGGTCTTGAGTCGAGGTACTCAATAAGGCGCTTCTGAAGCTTTTCTTCGTGCTGGGTGATCTCATCCCATGTCTTCTTGGGGTTCTTCCCAAAATAAGCGACAAGGGGTATGATAGATTGTGTCAGCTCATAGCTGGCACCGGCGAGCTCCAGTTTATCCATCAAACTTGCAGATGGATTGAAATAATGTCCTAGCGGTTTTAATTGTTCCTGGGCCTTGCGTGAACCGTATAAAAGGGAGATATGAGGTCCATAGACCTGATTTCCACGTGTCAATTCATGTGATACTGATGCCAGATGCTTTCATTCTTTATCAATAATCTCATAGACTCGGGGGGCTCACCTTGTACCAAGAAAAGGCATAAAAGTCTGCGCCAAGTTCTTTTACGTCAATCGCCCGGTGTGGAGCGTAGGCAACGCCGTCCACGCAAAGAAGGGCATCGGGAATCTCGTGCACCGTATCGGCAATGGCTTTGATGTCATGAATGCTACCAAGAATATTGCTAGCATGTGTACAGGCCACAAGGCGTGTCTTGGTAGTCAATAGACTTTGGAGGGTCTTGGCATCAAGCTTCGGGTTCGATCGATCAGCTGGCGACCACCACTTGATGTTCGCACCAGCGATTTGGGCGTAGTGCAGCCATGGATCAATGTTCGACTCATGGTCCATCTCAGAGAGAATAAGCTCATCGCCAGCTTCGAGCTTAATGGAAGCGGCGAGATTCCGCAAGACCTGAGTGGTGGATGCTCCAATCACTCGAAGTTGAGAAAACCTGTTAGTTTTCAGTTTTCTTGGATGACAGCGTCGGCCTTACCAATTTCGTCAATGCCAGCATTGATGTACTGAGATGCGATCCGATAGGCCTCATCAAACTTGGCGGTTGATGTGCGCGATGTGCTGTAAGTTGCTCCAAGCTGGACATTGTTGGTTATGAGATACTCTGAGATACTGATCATGGTAAGCTCTTACACGATAGCACGTCGTCGTCAGAGGCATCACTTACCTGTGGGCAACACTGCCTAGCACTTGACTGCCACCAGCGTTATCGCCAAAGATCTGGTCCTTCTGCAAAGACGGGAATTGCTCCCTGGCCTTCTCGACCGAGAATTCCGAATCCATGGCACTTGCAGTAGAAAAGTGGAATCCTCCAGCTCCTATCGTTGGCTCTGATCAGCGTTGCTATTGGGTGACGATGCTCACGAACATCCGGCGGAGACCTGATTGATGAAGTAATAGTGGACTGGGGTAGTGCCGACCCCTCTTGTTCACACCGGATCGGTCTGGAGCCTGCGGTTGTGCTGTCGCAGAACCCGCTCTGACCGCCAATGAACACCACAGCAGTAGCCAGCCTCAGCTATCTCTAGCTGCATACAGTCCGTTACACTAACAGCATCCACCCCCCCTTTTTACTAAAATTACATATGTATAATCCCTATATATATATATATGAAAATTTGTTTAGTACTATATAGATATTTATAGTATAGTGATTAACCTATTTTAATAGCTTTAATGAATTTATTCTTATTAAATCTTATAATCTAAAGGCGTTATAATACCTCTTAAGTATTACTATATACCTTAATAAGTAGATAATAACCTATTTAGGTATTATTTACTACTTATTATTAATAATATGTAGAAATAAAAATATATATAATAATTAATATAAGATACTACTAGAGATCCTCTTTAATACTCTATTTTATTATTAAGTAAAATTATCATATTTATTAAAAAAGCTTGTTATGCTGTTATTATTAAAAAGGCTATTAAAAAAGTTATTATTAAAATTATTATTACTAAAGCTAATCTTAAGATTATAATTTAATAGGTGTTAAGTTTATAATATAAAGAAAGTATACATATATAGAGCCTCTATTATTATAAAAAGCTTTAAAAATATCCTCTTATTAAGAAGTAATAATAATATAGAGGAAATAAAGAAATATCTATTACAGAAGATTTAGTTTTAAAGTATTCTATTTTTATTAATATTATTATTTTAATTAAATTTAACTTTAGTTAATATAACTTTTTATTAAATTATTTAATTTATAAATCATATATTTATGGCTTTCTGTTATAATATTAATAACATATCTATATTATTTCTGAATATATGTAAAACAAGAAGAAGATATAAGTAATAATAAACTAATTTTATTATAAATTTAAGTTATTTATAGCTTAATATTCACAAATAAGAGTTTATTTATTTTAATCTAATTATTAAGAATACTATATATAATAAACTTAGCTTTATTAATATATTAGATATAAATAATAAAAATTGAAAAATTGATAGTAATATTTAATTTAAAATAGAAATAATTTATTAATATAATTTAAAAAGAGCTAATATTACTATTATTATTATTTAGAAAAAGCTAATTAATATCTCTAAATTAACATTAATTTGTATTTAAATATATCTATTTACTAAAGAAGTTATTTAGCTAAATATTCTATAAATTAATATTATTGCCTCTCTTAAATAAACTAAAAAAAGAAATAAAGTTTTTTTACTATTAAGTAATAATATAATGCTATATTAATTTCTAATAGGATAATAATTAATATATAAACGTTTTAAAAAAGTAATTAAATAGGTATTTTAGTTAATACATAAAACGTAATTAACTATAAGTTTAATAATTTTATAAATATTAAGTATTAGAAAGAAAATATATATAAATAACTTCTCTATATAAATGTCTACTTAAAATATTAAAAATGTAAAAATAATTTAAATAATAAGAGTTTTAACTAATATTATATATTAAACTAGAAGTATTACAAAATTAAATCTTATTATATAGAGAAATAGATAAAGGTTATTCTAAATAAATAAACTCATATTAATAATATAAAACTATTTAAAAAACTATTTAGTAAGATATTTTATAATTATTTTATTAAGGATTAAAAATACTAAGATAAGAGAAATAGAAATATTTTTAAAGTTAATAATAATTAAGAGATAATACCAATAATAAAAGAGAAAGCTAAAAATATTATATTTCTATTATTAAAGTTAAAGTTTAGCTTAATTAATACTAATAATAATATTATGATTAATATATATAACAATATAACAATATTAAATTATTATATTTAGTATTATAACTTATAGTTATATATAGCTCTTATTATTATTAGTTATTACTATTATTAATATATTAGCTATATATAAATATTTTATAATAGTTATTATTAATTCTTCTATTATTAACTCTTTTAAATACTTATTAACTAAGTATTATACTTTTAATTTATTTATCTTTATTAATAATATTAGATTTACTTTAAAAAGCTTTAGATTAAATAGCTAGCTTTATTAAGTAGTTTATATCTATTTATAATAAATAATATAATATTAATAAAAAGTTTCAAAAGAAGCTATAAAAACTATAATTAATAGATAGTAGCTTATAAGTAATTTATAAGTTATTAGATATTTAGTTTACTAAATAAAGGTTTGTTTAAGATCTTATTAAAAATATTAAAAACTTAATCAAATCCTTTATAAATAATAGCAATTATTATAGAAAATAGTTTAATACTTTCTCTAATATAATATCTTATTTTAAACTTTATGTATACTATCAAAAATTAAAAAGAGGTATTTATATAAAAATATATAACTATTAAATTACTAAAAAGAATAATAATAATATTAGTTAAAAACTCTATATTAGCAGTCTAATTAACCTATATAAATAGGTGTTACAGTTCACTCTATACTTTTTTCATAATACTAAAACTTAATAGCAGCACTTTAACTTATACTCAATCTTAATAAAATAAACAAATAAATCTCAGTATAACTAGTTTTTAATATTTAGCTTAACTTATTCCTAATAGAAGATGGTAAGTAAGTAGGTAGCAGAGCAGTAAAACATACTGGCGAGAGCATTATTTATGATATAGCTAGAGCTTAATAATAGCTTAAACCTATATTTAAGGATATAAACTTAATAGTATAACTTTTCGCTACTATAGCTAAAAAGGTTCTTATAGCTATAATATAAAAACTTAGCTACTACTTTAAATAAAGCCTTAAGCTTATTTTTTATATCCTCTTATATATAGTTATAATAACTTTATATAATATCTTTCCCCTTTATTATACCTATATATAGGCTAAATAAAGCCGCTCTAAATAACTTAATCTATAAGACTAAAGCGAATACAATTAAGGGCTCTAAATATAATAACCTTCTCTATACTAATAAAAAGACTCTACTTAAATTCACTTAAAAGTACCTACTTAAAATAGTTAATAAGTATGAGATATTAAAGTTATATAGCCTTAAAGTTAATATAGAAATAGTTAAAGCTACTAATAATAATCCTAATATTTATAAATACTTTATAGACTTCTTTAAGATAGTTAAAGTAGTTTAAGGGGAATATTAATAAATTAAGAAGAGCGAATATATTAAAAGTATAGCTAATAGTAGTAGGGCTATTAAGACTACGTAGTAGGGCAGAAGATGTTATTTATTACAGCGTAGACGTCTAAATAGTAAAGGAGAGGGAGATAAAAGAGACTAATAGAGATAGAGGTAGCTAGAAGAAGATAGTTAACTTAGCTTATTATAATATTTAAAGTCTAATAGAGGAGCGTAGAGGTGAAAAGGATATTTAAGTCTGAACTATAGTTATATAACTTAAAGGTTATTAGCAGAGGGTAAGAGGATTAGTCTAGTGTTACGAGCGGGTCAGGGCAACCAACTGTGGCACAAAGCAAAAGCTTCGCTAATGACAAATCTGCTGCCATTATCCCCTGTTCTGCATTATATAGTTACAATCCTACAGTGACCAACTGTAGCGGTCGTAACAATTACCTTCTATAAAGCCTATAATAAGATCTTTATAAATAAAAATATTAAATCTACCTTCTATAGAGCTAATTATTTTACTATAAGACCTAAATTATATAATTAGGAAACTCATATATATATATATATATACACTTATACCTCTTATAACTAATCCCTTAATACTACCAGCCTAATAGTTATAAACACCCTCTAACTAACATAAAGCGCTTTCATAATTAAACTCTATTAAAACTTAGATCTCAGCCTATTAGGGAAGCTCTCTAACACTAATAATTAAGGTGGTTAACCAGCTAGTAAAGGGTGTGCAGGTAATAGCACACTTAATCATAATTTTAACAGATCAGATGCGCACACTTTAGGATGCTAATATAATGCTTGCTAAGCGCCAGAGAGCGAAAAAGATATACGTCCAGCTTAGAGGAGCACTTAGTATAGCAGAATCTCAGGTTATCCTAGAAGAAAAGGGCAAAGGGAAATATCTAGGACCTCAAGAAGGTGAAGATAGGGGTCTGTTGAAGAAGGGTCAGTCGGCTTAACAGCGTTGCGGTGTGTGCAGCAAGATAGGCTATAATGCGCGAACGTGTTCTAAAGATGTAGAATCGTCTAGTGAATCAGATGCTGATGAGAGCTAATTAATTTTCTACATTCTGGTTGTAAAAACTTACTTAATGTTTGAAAGATGAGGAAAAGTGTGCAGCTGACTGATATGCGCGGCTGACTGGTAAAGTGTGTTAACTATAGTAATATATTATTATAATAAGTTATTATTATAAGTATTAATAATATATTTTAGCTACTATATAAGTAAAATAGATATATATATATATATATATATAGCTATTAATAAAAATAATAAATAATGACATATTTTCTATATTTAGTTATACTTCTAGTTAAACTTAATCTTAATAGTTATAATTATAAATCTAATAATTTCTTATTATATAATAATATAATTAAGATTTATTATGATTATATAATAAAGATTTAAATTACTTATTAAGATTTAATATTTATAGCTTATTCCCTCTTTTATAGTTTAATATTATTAAATATTTACTCTATCTTATTAAAGTAAATAAATAAATAGTAGAAATCGCTTTTAATCTAAAATAAATAATACTTAATCTCTATAATATAGTTATATAGATATTCTATAAAATCCTAAAGATTAATCTTATGATTATTCTATTTTAAATAGTTATATCTTTTTAATATATTACTTTAGATTATTAAAATACTTTTAAAGTCAAAATCTAATAAATATAG